ACGGTTTCTTCTCTCTCTCTCTCTCTCTCTCTCTCTCTCTCTCTCTCTCTCTCTCTCTCTCTCTCTCTCTCTCTCTCTCTCTCTACGGGGTTATGCAAGGAAAATGAGTATGGACGAAGAACAGAAATCCGGAATGCAAAATCACACTTAGCCCAACCTCCTGTGGGTTATGCCATCGAGCTTCTACCATCTCCATGAATTGGTCTAAGGTCAAAGACTTAGCCCAATCCACCATGCGTCGCCCGTACCCGGCCTTCACAACTACACCATCTAGCCACTTGGCTGCTTTACCCTCTAGGTAAGATGCCGCACTTACCACCTCATCCTCTGGCAAGGTCCTTTTGGCCTTCACCCAAACCGGGACCGTCCTCAACCATTTGTTGAGTTCCTCGTCCTTTCTCTCGCCTGAGAAGGCAAGAGGCGGTTTCATTGGGGTCTTGGGGTACCATTGACCTTGTTGCTGTCCAGATTGCTGAACAGGTTGTTGTGGTGATGTAGCTATCACCACTGGACCCAAAGAAGAAGATGCAACAGTCTGTGCTGCTGCTGCAGACGTACCACTTGGCTGTGTGCCAGCTTGTACGGCAAAGGGACCTGACATCGCTGTTAACGGTAACGGCAATTGTGCTGGTGGCTGGAATCCTGGCCTTATCAAAGCGTCCAAGATCTGGTCTAAAGTGTTATGCATGAAGTCCAACCTGCTGTCCACATGCGCATGCAGTGACAGCATGTTGTTCCTCAACACTTTCATGGGCTCGTTCATTCCTGAATCGTCCAAGCCCTCCAACTCCGCCTTGTCAGTCTCTAGAGTATCAAGCCTGGCTGTTCTATTTTTTATCTCCTTTTCTCTGTCAGTAGCCTGTTTCAGTTCCCTCTCTAATTTTTCACGGATCCTTTCGACATGTTGAAGCTCCCTGAGCTCCCTCTCGCGAGGAGTCAACGGGCTGAACTGCACGCCCGTCATTTGACTTGTAGACGGCCTAGACCCTMGTAAAGTGGAGATACCCGGGGACCCCGTTGGCATTCCCAACTGGGTTCCTGACGAGGACGCAACCGTAGTTGCAGCAGAGGTTGCTGCTGCGGTAGCCATTGCTGTTGCTGTGGCTGCTGCGGCAGCCTGCTCCCTAGCTGCAAGGTTTGCTGCTTCTCTCGATGCTACGAGAGCACGGGCTCTACGTTCGGCACGAAGCCGTCTTTCTTCTCCCTCGTCTAGAGTCCTGAACACGTACGGGATCCTTCTTGATCTTGCACGTGTAAGTCTACTATCGTCAACTCCCTCCTCGTCGACGTCTGACCCGTTCATGAATTAGGCAAACATTGTCTGCACTAGAACTCCCTAATGGAATCGTACCACAGCATGTGTCTGACCGGCACCTAATTTTCTAATAATGGTTGTGTCCGGCAGTTCCCCTACTGTACCGATCAAGTGGCATGTCTACAACATTCACACAGTTTGTCTACATAGTCTAAATGCACTTTGACTTGTTCACTTACAACAGCATTAGTTAGAACTGGCTATGGTAGCATACAACAGTCCTACACTAAATTTGTCTGTGAGGTGTTAGCAGWCTGTCCACCAACTAATCAAAGGTACAAAAAGACAATGTAGCAGATGTATGATTGATGGGTATGGTTGTGTATACAGTTGAGCACCAATTAGAACCTACCCTCCCCTCCATCCAACATACCGAACAGCGTCATTGAGCGAGTAGTGTCTTCGTGTGTGAATCGGCCCACCCCTGTGCCCAAGTTGTCACCGAGCAAGCCAGCCCAACCACTCTTATTTAYCCTCGTACGGCGACGAGCCTTCCTGTCCATGTGATCTGGCTGATCAGGAGGGATTTATAGAGCGCCCCCATCTCTTCAGGAATTATTTAAYGTCGCAGTCAGGACGACGATCACAGCCAGAATCACAATGAACTCCCAACCAGAAATGTTTATAGACGGTCTGGTAAGCGTCTGTCATGGGCTGGCACACCCGGAGGAACTTCTATAAGCGCAGCAAGTGCCAAACAGGACAGCAGCCATCGCATGCGTGCACTACTCCCTGTGGGTTGGCATGGTGACCGTGACCCAAGTGCTTCGACCAGGGCCCTTCAGAGGCACCGCTCTTTCTCCTTCCAGTATGCTTCCGGGAAGATTGTCGTCTCTCAAGGTAGCGCGCTCACRACACCTCACCAAAAGAGAGGACTCTCAAGTTGGACTCACTTCCTCACGGTAAGAAGAGATTGAGAGAGTAGATAAGGTAAGGGAACAACGTACCTGGAGATAGCTGCCCCCAACCACAGATTTCTCACCAATTGAGCTGATGTTGCATTTGATGACCGGTCATGACCTCGGTACCACCCACAACGCAATGCGGTGCCACCTTAGTCCAATGTCACATCAGGATGCTCTCATCACCAATCAAACATTCCGCTGTATCCCTCGGCTAATAATGTCGTTCAATAGCCCTCCGGTGCACCCCTCTCTACCCAGGGCGTGCACCTAGCGTAGCCTGACGTCACAAGAACCCACTGCGAAGAAGCATCATCAACGCACCAAGTCTGTATAACGCCAGCATGCCAGAGGTAAGTGGCGATCAAACCAGCTCYGATACCAAATTGCAAGGAACATGAGTATGGACGAAGAACAGAAATCCGGAATGCAAAATCACACTGAAGTCCAAGTATTCAAAGCCAAAGCAGATAGCACATGGAACCGAGTAACCATCCCATTGAGAGTGATACAGAAGAATTGTGAGTCAATGTCCATGCCCACCAGGGCAACACCAACAGCATAACCCAAATGTAGCTCTCTCTTGTGAATGGCGCCAGGCGCCCTATCTACTCTACCGCCTATCCTACAACTACAGCAATGAACAGCAACCAGACAACTTGACTACCAGCGAGTGATGATGTCAACACCAACACAGACCTCCACCATCACCAGGTACGTGTCATCTTCCCCACACTCTCCCTTGTTACCCACACAGCGCACTTCACCTCCGAAGTACCACCTTCGCCCTCACCTCCCCTGCACCCTCTTGCGGCCCGGCTATGGCCGCCAGTGCTCTGCAAGCAGGCAGCGCCCTACCGCCTAGCGCTGCCCTGCTTCTTCTTAGCGCACCGCTGCTCTGCATTAGCGCAGCACACTTGCATCTGCGCAGCGTGCCCGCATATGCCAGCATTGGCCAAGCTCCCCGCTGCCTCGCCCTGCTTGCCTATATGCCAGTGCAGTGTGTGGGCGGCCTTCCTTCAGCCCGTGACCGGGGCCCGGGGCTGAAGCCAACTCGATACAGTTGGGCCCCGGGGTAAGGCAGTTGCGCCTCCTTCATCAAAGCCTGCGGCCAGATTCAGACAGTGGGCCGATTTCCCTTTGGCATTTTCGGCCTCTCTTCCCAGCATGCATTGTCGGCCTCACGTTCAGATGCCCAGGGCCTAACCAACTCAGAGGCCCTGGGCTTTCAGCATTTGCTGAAATCTGAGACTCGGTGCGCTCCAACCAACTGGCGTGCTGCAACTGTATGAACCCCACTTCGTGAAATGTTGCACAGAGGGCTCTTGTCGATTTGCTGGCCCGCCTTCACTTAGGGCAGGCACTAGGCTTGCTGGGGCCTTAGCCCAGAACATGTACTTCATGGCAAGGCCCCTAATTGAGGGCTCAATCCTCACAGTTAACTCGTCAACTCGGTGGAAATGTATCTTTCCATGTTCAAGCGGAGGATTCAGTCTCATTTGTTCAGAGATTCTCCAAAAAAAAAAAAGAAAGCTTCCAGACATACGTTACGTGCTTACCTGATTCATCGGCCCTTCGCTCTCCACCACCCAACGAATGAATGAATCTTCCGCCAAAACATGGAAAGATACACCGCCATATTATTTGTCCTTTCTGCATGTCGCCCCGCTTCCGGATTCATGTTGCCCGTTGATAAGGGCAGTTTCTTCGGTCCGATAGTGTCAGCACACGGTTTCTTCTCTCTCTCTCTCTCTCTCTCTCTCT